TCTTATATTTTGGTATTCATTATGGCGACTAGCATCCAAGAAATATTTTGTGGCTTGATCACTTGAGAGAGGAGTGAGTGCACACTGAAATCCTCCAGCTTGCCTATGACCCTGAGCTCTTTGACGCCAGGAACACTAACCAGGAAAGGGCTGTAAGCTGCCGGAAGGTGCACTTGAGAGAGGAGTGAGTGCACACTGAAATCCTCCAGCTTGCCTATGACCCTGAGCTCTTCGACACCAGGAACACTAACCAGGAAAGGGCTGTAAGCTGCCGGAAGGTGCAGGAGGCCCACGAGATGTTCACCATGGGTAAAGGCGGGTGGAGGAAAGCACGAAGTGAGAAATAATTCAAATTGCACTTTGTTTTTCTTATGAACTGCGTAAAGAGAGAACATATAAACATATACATATACATCTGTTTAGAGAATAATAGTATAAGCTGCACTTTTATGGGTGACGGGTTTGAAGCTCTTAGTGACAGCCCAAAAAAGGGTTTTGGGTTTCTATAACCCAGTGTTTCTTAATCTATTTTTCATTATTATCATCCCCCCGGTACTTTTTTATATACTTTTTTCTAATTGCCACCACCTCCCATGAAATTTGAATAGCACGGATATACTGTATACCTGTTTCTGTCCTGTAGCTTTTTGGAGGGCGACAGACCATTGTAATATATAAGATTTCTCATCTCCCAAGAACCAAATTTTGTCTTCTTGGGGATGACAGCAGCTCTGTTGAGAATGCACGCTGTAGAGGACTCCCTGAAGGTTTGGGCCCAAGGTGTTACTTCATCCAAACAGAACAGCAAATAGCTGAATGTCTAAGAATGGAACTGGGAACAAGAAAGAAAAGTCTTCTCTTGCCCTCCCCTCAAGCCAAACTCACATGTGAAGTGGGCGTTGTGCTCCTGATCTCCCCACCTCCCTTCTTCACCCTGAGCTTGGTCTCAGAGGGCTGACAATTACAGACCTCACATCCAGTTCCTTGGCCCTCTGCCTCCAAGTTAGGTTTGGCCCATGCAGAGCTTGCAGGAGACTGAGGGGAGGGAGGAAGGACAGTGCAGTGAGAGCACATGTTCCTCCTGTGTGCTCATTCCTCCACCTATGTCCTTCAGTCACTTCTCTTCTTGAGGTACCACCCTACCTGGCTCATTCTGGGTCCTCCTGGGTTCTGCTAACAGCTCTCATGCCCTCCCCTGGGTAGAGAAGGCTTAAGCTCAGTTGCTACTGGCCCTGCATTACAGCACTGTCCCTTGGGGTTACCCTGTACCCCCACATCTGTAAATGTATCTTATGTTCATTGTGCTCTCTGTTTCCTTTTGGGGCCCTGAGTGATAGAGGGGGGAACTCTTGTCACTGTACCTCGAAAGAGACATTCTGGAGCTAGAATGAGGCCAGAAGAGGGCTGCAGAGAGCACCGAGGGGGGCTGGATGGGATGGGGCGGGAGATAAGGAATCAGAGTCCCAAACAAAGGAGGCAGACAGGGATCTTGAATGGAGTGGGATAGGAAAACACAGTTGTCAGGGAGTCTCTGGAGCTTGAGAGGCACTTTTAAGAAATATCGTGGCCCATCTCTTTACCTAATTGGGACTGATTTAGCACTTTCTCCATCTGAGGGTGGTAGCTTTGGCTGGGTCACAGAGAGAGAGGTGAATAGGGAAAAAAAGTCCAGCACAATGGATTTCAAAGGGGTCCTTAAAGATCATGCTCTTTGGGGACACCCTCATTCTTGTGGGATGATGCCAGAGAGGCAGACTTTGTCTCCTTAATTGACCACAGAGTTTGGGCCTAGGACTCCTTCCTAAGGCAAGTGGCAGGTGTGGATGGATCATTGATCCTGCAGGTTCAGGTGGACAGTGTGCTCCCAGGTGGAGGGGAAGAAACAGTCTTTTGGGTGCAATAGCCTAGGCTTGGATGTCAGCTCTTCACCTCTCTGGGCCATAATGCATCTCACAGAGTTGCCATGAGGACTGAATGAGAAAATGCACATAACTGCACTCAGGCTTTGCCTGTGGCCAGTAGCAGCACAGCCCCACATCCCAGCAAACTGAGTGGTCTCACATTCTGAGACCACCAAGTCTCCTTTCCCCACTCTGCCCTGGGTGCAGGGACAACCAAGTCTTACATGTCCCGGGCTCCAGAAGCCACAGAGGAATGCCAGAAGCCGTTGTCATGGATTGGGGGCTGGGTGGGCACATTATCCTGAGGCCTCCTAATCCCATTTTCTGCTTTCATGTTAATCCTTTTCCTCCTCCTGTCTGCCACACACTCAAATCCCAGGGCACTGACCCGAGAGCCACGCCCCACCTCCCCCAGTCGAGGGTAGTGCTCCCTGTTGGGGAGGAGGATGGAGGTGGGTGGGGCTAGGGTCAATCTGGCTCGTGCCTAGGTCCTCCCAGCTGACCTGGATGTTCTTCCAGGCCAGGCCACGGGTGCACATTGAGTGCTCAGCTCACTAATAACAATAACAATGACAGTATCAGCAGTATTTCCTAAGCACTTACTGTTCCCTGATGCTGGCTGAGACCTTCACGTACATAATTTCATTCAATTTCCATAATGCTTCTGTGAAGCAGATATTATCAATCTGAAATGCAGATGAGGAAATGGAGGCTCAGGGAAGTTGCCATGGCCCTGATCACTCTAAGCAAAAGGTAGAACTGTCCTGAGCTCATGGAACCTCAGGGGTAACCACTAGGCAACCCTCTCCCTCCCGAGTTGCTTTCTGCTTCCCCACTCTGGAAAGGACCCTCTATCTACCCACTGCTTCCCTCCTCTGGCACATGTCACCTGACGCTTCTGTGGGTTGAATGTATTTCTTCCATCCAATACACTGGGTATCTCTGGTGTTGCAGTGGAGTGGAAAGAACGTAGGCTTTGCAGGGAGGGAGAGGGGGATGTGGTTCTGGTTTCTGCAGGAAGGAGGACAAGGAGCACCCAGGAACTGAAAGTTCTCCAAGGAGATAGGTGGCTATGTGTAAACTGTAAATGGGGAGGACTGATTTTGCCTCAGGCTTTCACTCACTACCACTGTCTTTCTGGCACTTCCTCACCTCTCCATTCCCAGTTGCCAATGCCCTTCTCTCTACTCTGCAGGACTGAGACCAACCATTTTTCCCCCAGAAATAGGTTCTAAGGCAAGGCTCACTCACTGAGGAAGAAGCTACCATTCCATTGGCCACCTGCAGGTGAATCTTTCTAAAAAGACTGTATGCCCTTTGGGCCTGCGTTTTGATTTGTCATACACTTAAGGAGGAGTGTCCCTAACTCACATAGATCCCGCCTGCTGCAATTCTCCCCTCTGGGAGGCTGCATGTGGTACTGGACAGAGCACAGGCTTTGAGTTAGGCGGGATTTGGATGTTTATTAATCATGGGGCAGCCATGGCCAGGCTCCAGTTCCAGGTCTGTAAAATTGGAATAATTGTACCAACTGTGCTGAGTCCGGAGCCCGGCCCTCTTTAAGTGTTGTTTTCCTCTGTTCCTCTCCATGGGCCAGTGAACTGTTCATCTGGAAACCCCTCGAAGCACAGAAGGCAGTGCTTGGTTCATCTTCAGCCTTCTCTTTCCCACCTCAGACCTCGCAGAGGTTCTCATCAGTTCTGGCACCTCCTTGGGCCCAGCCTGGCGGCATGGTTCCTCCTGTCCTCAGTGCTGCATAGGTTAGATGACGGTTGGGGAATCACAGGGGGGTGGTATAAAATCTAATACTGGCTGGGTTGTGTGTCTGCAGCAGGTGTGTCCAGCTGGGGAATGAGGCCTGGAAGCTGATGGGCATGAGGTCCCCCTCAGAGGGGTGCGGGCCCAGGGTGGTGAGCACAGGCAGGATTTGGCTGTGGTGAGTCATGGTGTGAGGCTCTGACTCTCCCCTCTGCCCATCGTCACAAGCCTGGACACCAGAGGTAAGATGCAGGGTGTGTACGTTGGGGATGGTGGTGGGGAGCTGCCAACCTTGGGGGGCGGAGTGGTGGCCAAGATGAAGGCCCTAGAGCTAACATTGGCTCCTCAATCACTTAGGACAATAGGGACTTCACCAACGTGAGTCATGGTGTGAGGCTCTGACTCTCCCCTCTGCCCATCGTCACAAGCCTGGACACCAGGGGTAAGATGCAGGGTGTGTACGTTGGGGATGGTGGTAGGGAGCTGCCAACCTTGGGGGGTGGAGTGGTGGCCAAGATGAAGGCCCTAGAGCTAACATTGGCTCCTCAATCACTTAGGACAATAGGGACGTCTCCTACATGTTAAACTTCACCAACCATGTCGTTGTGGAGAAACTGGGTTCTGATTTAAAATTGATTACTTTTTTCAAAGCCCTCAAATGTTTGTGCCCTTTGAGAATAGAAGGAGGATGGTATACAGGAGAGAGAATGTGGGATTTCTTCTCAGAAGACCCACATCGCCGTGGAAACTCTCTCTGGCCTCTGTGTGATCTTAGATGCTCAGCATATATTTTTTTGCCCTGGGCTTCCATATCGCCCTGCTCAACACTCTCTCCTAAAATCCAGAGAGGTGATGGCTGGTATTTCCGTAGACCCTCCTTTGTCCTCACCCTCCTTATGTTACTTATTCAGAGAAAGGCTCTGAAAAAGAAAAGTGCCCATGACCTTGTGGGGGGCAGTGGTGATGATGGCCAAGTCCAGTCCTGTGCAGAGGCAAAGCTGACCCTTCTGGATGCCGCTCAGGGTCCCCTGATGACTCCTTCCTGAACTATTTCTCCACCAGTTAATCGAGGCAGCTGACATCCAGCCATGAGGACATCACTCCTTTGCTTAAGGCTACATATATAACAAGGCTTAGGGGAAAAGGGAATCTCCACACATGGATGTGGAGGGCCAAGGGGGGAGGTGGGCACCATGGGAGCAGGGCCTGGAAACACATTTTGGTGACTTCAGTGTTTGCCACTGAGGTTTCCCTCACACACACACACACCCCCAACCATATACCAAAGACTTAAGTGAGGACCAGTAAGTCACTGTCCAAGAAACTGTGGCTTGGGAAGAGTTTTTGCTGTGAAACATCATTTTATTAACTGATTGATTTCTTTTTCTTTCTTTCTTTCTTTTTTTTTTTTTTTTTTACAAAAATAAACAATTTAATGAATAAGTACAAAAGCTTCTGGATATACAAACTCCAGGAGGGGGGAAAGCCTGGTTTCGGCTGCTTTGTGGCTTTCACTGAAAGCAAATGAGGCAGAAAGGCCCCGGTCTCACCCCCGCTCCAGGTCCTGGCTCAAACCGCAACCTGCTCCTCCACCCTAGTCTTGGCTCATCTGGACGTGTGCTCCTCTGCCCCGACCCCTGGGCCGGCCTGGGAGTACCCCCTGTCGGGAGGCCAGAGACAGCCTCCCCAAGGACACAATCACCCACATCCCAGAGCATCCTGCAGCCAAGTCCCCTGCCTGGAGCTTAAGCTGAGAGAACACTCCATGACCGATTGTCCCCACGCAGCCCACTGCCTGCTGTTGTGCAGCAGCAGCAGGGCTTTGGCTACATTCTCACACTATGAACACAGTGATGAGGCTGCCCACAGAACTCCCAGTGAGGGACACAGCCCCCATTGGGAAGACTATCCTGAGCCTTGCTTGCAGCCCAGAGGGTTGGAGAGGCAGTCAGCCCCCCATGATTCCTGGCCTGGGAGCCAGCAGTCCCACATCTAGGCTGGTAAACTCACATTTTAACATTTTGCATTATTGCACGTTTGTCCTGGTCACGTCGGTCTGTCTGGGATGTCAGCCTCATCTGTAGGAGTTCCCAGGTGACACGCATTGCTGCTAGTGCTAGTCACTCCCTCCACAGGCAAGCCCAGCTGGCGAGGGTGCTCAGCTGAGCCCTCAGGTAGGTAAGCCAGAGGCCCTCACATATGTGGTCTTGCTGGGATCAGAAACCACTTGGCTCCATCCAGTCTTGAAGAAGACCAGCCGCCGACCTGAGGGCAGAGGTGAGAGGTAACAGGACTGGATGCTTTCTCTCCCTGGAGGCAAGGCCACTCTCCCTAATGCTATTGCCTTGAGGACATACATACTTCTCTCTCATCTCAGCCTCCCTTCTGGCTTCTGCTGGGGGCCTGCTACTTGTGAACCCCTCCTACAGAGAAGTCCAGCCGCCTCCCCCAAATGCCCTCTTGCACTGGCTCACCTGTCCAGGTGGTCTGGTTGGTGACCACAAAGGCCTGGCACTGGGCATGGCTCTCACAGACATCCATGGCCTCAGCCAGGTTGAACACAGAAAGGAGGCAGCTGCCATGGTGGTAGGATGGCCAGCAGCGGTAATCCTCCTGGGGGATGGTGCTGTCTGGGATGCGCTGGTACTCTGTGGGTGGGGGATGGAGCAAAGTAAGAACTCGGTGTGCTGAGGGGTGAGGGCTGGGGCCACTTTATGAAAGGGGCTGTGAGATTCAGTTCCTGGATGAAAGCTGAAATCCAGCCCAGTCTTCCTAGCATGGAGATGAAGGCAGCCACTGGTGTTGGGACTGGGCTGATCACTCAATAAAGGCAAAGTGCTGACTTGGTTTTTGGGAGATACGCATTTACCAAATCTAAGGGCAGGCAGCTGGTTAAGGCAGCACAAGATGGCGGGCACATGCATGGGACAGATACACACACACAGCCACCAGCTGTCCAGGCTGGCTGCTGAGGTCAGGACATTTTAGACTTTTAGCCCCAGCTTCTCAAACTTTAATGTGCACGTGAATCACCAGGGAATCTGGTTAAAATGCAGATTCTGACTCAGTAGGTCTGGGGTGAGATCTGAGAATCTGCATTTCTAGCTAGCTTCCAGTGCTGCTGGTCTGCAGACCACACTTTGAGTAGCAAGGGTTCGGAGCATTGCTCAGTGACCCCTTCTCCCAGCCTTGGGGAGAGAGGTTAGGGAAGCTGTTCAGGTAGGCCTGGGGGGCAGTTAGGGAGTTTAGAAGTTAAGAGGCATGTAAGTAAACACAGTACACCAAAAATCCATGGCTAGAGTATTTGGGGAGGGGGCTGGAGGGAGAATCTGACATCTCCCCATTATACAGAAAGAGCCGCAGAGGATCTGAAAATGCCTCACAATCAGGGAGCGCTCAGTGGCAGGCCTCTTGTTCTCCCCAGTCTTTTCCACCTCCTGTGAAGCCCCAGCTCTGGACTGACAATGCAGAAGCCCTGGGCCTCTGGCCACCCCGCCCTCCTGCCTCCTCCTCCTCCCAGGGACTAGACCAAAGTCCAGGGCTGGCTGTGATTTATAGCCCCATAAACGGCGTCCTCAGGGACAGAGCCAGCCATTGTTCACCTCGTTAAACTTTATTTACAGGGCTAACGAGGGCTCCCCCACCCCTAACACTGGCCAGGGATCCTTGAATATGGAGGCTGCTCACCCCTCACAGGGACAGAGCCAGCCATTGTTCACCTCGTTAAACTTTATTTACAGGGCTAACGAGGGCTCTCCCACCCCTAACACTGGCCAGGGATCCTTGAATATGGAGGCTGCTCACCCCTCACCCCTCTGCCAACCACAGCTAAAGCCCAGTGGAGGGACCACAGCTGGTAACCAGTAGCCAGAATTCTCCCCCTGACCTGGGGCTTCTTGGCTGGTGTCAGTGTGGAGCCCCCTCTACCTCCAGCAACCCATCTAGCCCTGGGAAGGCAGAGGAAGGAAAGAGAAGCAAACATGCATTGTGTTCCCGCTGTGAAATAGGAAATGTGCTAATTGCTTTCACACACCTCACCAGGTGTCTAATCCCCACAAGAATTTTGTGAGGTAGGTAATATTGAACCCGATTCACAGATAAGGAAAGCGAGGCTCAAGGGGTAACTTGGTCAAAGTCACAGAGCCAGTACATGGTGGGGCTTGGAGCCATCCGGAGAAGGGGTACAGTACCCACCCCCTTGTTCAAAGCAGAATTACAGTTGTTCTAGCTCAGAGACCTCAAAATGATGGCTAAACAGTAGTCTCTGCATCACTCCAAGTGAGTCCTTGGAGTGGCCTTTGGAGACGGGGTCCCCGGAGGAAGGGTGAGCCACTTAGCCCAGTTAGGGGGGATCACTCACTGTCCCACCTGTTTCCCACCTCTCCACCAGTCCCTGGATCCCCGCTGGGCCACTCACCGGTGCTACTGCTGGTTGTGGAGTTCTGTAGATACTGCCCGCTCCGGTACAGGTGCAGCACCTTCTCCAGCTGGGTCAGGGTCTCATCTACCCCCCAGATGAGCTCTCCTGCAGAGACCAGTGTGCTGTGGCAGGGTGCCTGCGCTCCCACTCCTTCCCGCATTAGGCAGCCAGCTGCCTCCCCTTCTGGAGCCTGGCCCAGATTACTGGTGCGCTGGGAGGGGCTTTGCCACAGAATACCACCTTGTGAAATGATGGTTTCTGGACCCCGTGCTGCCCTGGGTCATTCTTGCCCCCAGTCCTGCTGGGAGAGGGGCAGGTGGTAGGAAGCAAATGGACCCTGGAATGCTCACCTGTGGCGTTGACAATGCTGTCCAGCAGAGGCCGTAGTGAGGGCGGGGCACTGTGGGGCAGGAGGTATGTGAAGAAAAACCTGTGGCAGAAACAAGGGAGTCAGGGGTACAGGCTTTGGGGACACATTCTTCCTCTACCCCAATGTGGGACAGAACCCTGATCCGGCCAGGGAGCCTGATCCCTCAAGCCTAGCTACCAGGCATATCCCCGGGGTGTAGCACAGAGTCTACTCAGACTCTGGAATGGGTCTGAGCACATGCTAAGACTACAAGCAACTTCACACCGTGCTTCTGAGGTCTGTTTTCCTCTGCGCCCCTGGGACTTCCCACATTATCTCCTGACTAACCTGCAGTGTCAGAGCAGCCCCATGGCTGGGCCTGATGAGGGGCTTCCCAGAGGTCTAAGGCCAGGGTGCGAAGGGGAAATGTCAGTCCCATCAGCCCTAGACTCTGAGTCTGACACTATTTTAAGAAGCCTCCAGCTTCCAACCCCAACCCAGATTCTCCTTGGAGCTGTCTATTTTTAGCCTCACCATCAGGGGCCCAAATGTTCCCTCTTGACGGGTGGCAGCCTTTCCCTGCCCCCACGACTCCACTGGTCAAGGCTGTGTCTCTCTGCCTCGCTGGCCTCCTGGCCCCATCCTGGCTCTCTCCCTGCCCTGGCCTCTCAGGCCCTCTCTCTCTGGTTGGAATTTCTGAGCGGGGG